TCATCCAAGCAGTGTGCTGTTGCTAGTGGTAGGGCAAATAGGATTTTAGGTTGTATCTACAGAAATATTGAATACAAGTCTAAAGAGGTTCTTATTTCATTGTACAGATCACTGGTTAGGCCACATTTGGAATATTGTGTTCAGCCTTGGGCTCCTTACCTTAGGAAAGATATGGAATTATTGGAAAGGGGTTCAGAGAAGGGTTACTAGAATGGTGTCTGGGATGGAGGGTTGTCATATGAGGAGAGACTGAAATCTCTCAAATTGTTTTCTCTTGAAACAAAGAAGAGTTAGAGGGGATCTGATTGAGGTGTTTATGATTGTAAAAGGAATTGATAGTATTGATGCATCATCTTTTTTCATATTTAACAATGAGAATAGTAGGACTAGAGGATACAAATTTTGGTAAAGTAGGAGACATCTTCAGTTAAGACAGTTTCATTTTTCTAACAGGGTGGTTTGCCTTCAGATGTTGGAGAGGCAGTAAATTTAACTGAGTTTAAGAAAAAGCTTGATAAGTATATGAATAAGGTCTGGCTTTAAGATTTTTTAAAAATTATTTTAATTTAGTTTAGAGGATGGAACAGCTGAGATGGACCAATACGTCCCATGTTGTCTCCAAACATTATATGTTTTATACAGTGCTTGAGAGCCTCCCCTCCCAGAATGCACCATTTCATTTCAACAGTAGTTAAAAGTTAACTTAAAACAATGTACCTGTACTGGTGTTTTTTCAGTCAATGAAAACTAAAAAAAAAAAAGGCAAAACAAGAAAGTAAAACAAGTTAATAATTTAGAAACTAAAGAAATGTCAAAAACTAAAAACTAGTGACACTGAAAGCTATGGTTCCTTTTTGAGACATTTTTCAATATTTTATTCACTGTTACTATAAAAATCTAATCAGCTGATCATACAGTGCTGTAGGTATGTGCTACAATGGTGTAAATAATAACTTGTTGCTCTTTGGTGTGACATAGCAAGATAAAAATGAAATCTATATTGTACGGATTGGTCATTTGTTTCATCAACTGCGTGCATTAGTTCATTTAAAATAATTGGATTGTATATTTACTTATTTACTCCTTTTACATTCAGTGTTCATCAGTTGTAATGGGAAATGTAAAACGAATCACATCTAAGGAAAATGTTGCACACACACAGTAAAGTGACAAAAATATCCAATGTTTCATTTTGTCTTATGTTCAAGCAGGTGAGTTTGCTGTTGCAACATTCCAGAATGAGGTGATGCACATATTCTTTGATACATTTTCACGTGTGTGTGGTCAAATTCAGACATAGATTAGTCTAAAAAGATTTAATGCTGTTCCAGCTACCAAAATAAGTGCCAGAAGGGTGTTCTGGTCTGTTGATTTTATAACATGACCTATATTACTAGAGAAAATGTATATTTTTATGTAAAATATGTTTCACAGAATGTTTAAGCAATAGATGAGACTGATTTTAATAAATAATTATTAAAACTTTTCAACTCATGTCTATGCATAAAACACAGCTGCCAATCCTTTAAACTAGAGAAAGTGTGAGAAACTTAATTACTTATTGATATAGTTTAATGTGTGTGGTCAAATTAGAACACAGTTTGTTATAAAAATATTATTATTCATTATCAAAAAGGGTTATCTGAGCTAGCCATCCCTAATTTAGCAGTGTATAACTAGAGGGAAGGCAGCTAGTCATCACCACCCACCGGTAACTCTTGGGTTACTCTTTTACCAACGAATATTGGGATTGACCGACACATTATAATGCCCCCACGACTAAAAGGGCAGGCATGTTTGGTGGGACAGGGATTTGAACCCGCGACCTCAGATTACCAGTCGAGTGCCCTAACCACCTGGCCATCAAAAAGGTTCCATAAAGTACAGAAAGGCTATTCTGGTTATCAGAATAAGTGCTGGAACAGCATTCCACTATGATTTGAACGAAGCGATGATCTTATAACGTGGTTATAATATTCGAGAAAATGTAGATTTCTAAGAATGACATGTATTATGTAATCCTGTTTGAATAACAACAAATGGGGCTGATTTTAATAAATAATTTTTTAATTTTTCAATCAGGTCTGTGAATAAAATATTACAGCTGAAAATTCTTGAAACTAGAGAAAATTTGAGAATCTTGAATTACTTATTGAAGTATTTTTCCAGTTGAAAAGTAAAAGAATAATAACAAAAAACACATACAAAATGACATTTTATATATTTATATATATATGTATATTTATACATTTGACATACTTGTGCCATACACTGGACAATTGAGCATTTTTGTAGCTGTAGAAGAAACACCATAAAATACCAAAATAGCTTTACAAACTATACAAATAGGTATAAACATACCAGCTACTTACTCACTATGAAGAACAAACACAAAATCCATCAACAAACATTGACTAGCATGAAAAGTTTATTTTAAGTATAATCTTTTTGGAGAAGAATATTTAATTTTTTTACTTCAGAGAGTGGATTACCCACTAAATCAAATAATTATTGATAAAAGACGACTTCACCAAAATGCAGCTATGTCTCAGAAAGCCCAGCTTAAATTTCATATTTATCAAAATACAGTCTCGCAGCATTTTTTACAAGTATATCTTCTTTAACAAGTACATTTGAAATAGAAGGTCAAAATGCAACTCTTCCTATGTAACTCTATAATGAGCAAAGAAAATCTCGATATCATTTGATATTTCTTTCCAAATGCATTTTCGAATTACTGGTGAGTCAGGGAAAAACAAAAAGAAAACCTTAGCAAGAATAGTAAGTTAAAACATGATATAAACCATGAATGGTTCTGATATGACAGTGATATTGATTTATGTGTCACATGGTTCAAGTTAACAAATCACATATTACTACACATGTACCATGCTAGGCGAAGTTCTGTATTACTACATAACACGTGTCAATTTAGGATTTTGTTATATGATACTATGAAAACTGTTGTATATGATATAAGGGTAAAGTTCGATATTAGTATGAAACATGTGCTGAGTGATACAAGAGTATATATTATTATTATTATACAACTTGCATGCCATGTGACCCAATATGTAGGTATTTATTATTACATAACACTGTGCCTTGTAGTAAAAGGGTGTAATTATATATAATTTATATTATGATATGAAAAATGGTGTTCCTACTCTAACCTCTCATGAACACACCAAAACATTATGAAAACGCAGCATTTTACATAATCATATCTAAACCACAAGCTGTTTGTTAATAAACCAGTACATTTGTTTTCTTGGGAAGTAAACTGTATATATAAAAAGATCAACTTCATGTGGTTTATATAAATGTTTTTCATTCAATGTAGTATTGACAAATATACTACATGTTCAAACTCCCAAGTGCATTTCAATATATTTTTTACCTTCTATATCTAACAAATATGTAAACTTTTCAAACATTCTGAATATAAATTCATCTTTACTCACACTTGTCAAGATTAACAGCTCAAATCTGTAACTAACAACAGATTCAACATGAAAACAGTAGGTTTTAACATTAATTTATTTTCCAATTTAATTTTAATTTCTATAATGCTTCAGGAACTGGCCTTACATATATATACCTTTAAATTAACAAATGTGGAGGGACTTATGCAAATAATTTTCCAACAAAAACATAAACCAAAATTAAAGATCAAAATTTGATATTTTTAATGTTTGTTAATACTTTGCAATTCAAATAGGCTGCTAATATCTTTACTTGTATGTAAAGTAAGAGTAACTCCAATTTGATACGAATAGTTTGATGTCCTTTTTTGAAGAATAATGTCCAGAAAAGCCCCGTTTCGATTACAAAACAAAATCACATCATAGTTTAGTAGTGTATTTGAGAAATTTGATGAGTTAGGAAATAAACAATGTTTATTTCTCATTTGAATAATCAATAAAAATATATTTTTTAATTCTTCAATAATAAACTTCACTTTTCTTAAAGGTCTGATTCACATTCAAAAACATCTCCTAGTATTCAAAAACATCTGTTAGTATCATGTTAGAAGATAGTAGTGTTTGTTTATCACACACACACAAAAACAACAATAACAGACTTTGAAGAAAGAGCAGACTACAGAGTAAATTCTGTATCATACATCCATGACCATAGATTAATCCTGAACAATAATTATTGGTTTTAAATAGAAAGAATATAATATTTTATGTCACTAGAATATTCAATATTAGGTTTTCCATATGAATTCAAAAATTAATCAGAGTCCAAAGAATTCTTATTCATAAAACCACAAATTATATATTTTGAACACCTAGTGAAAGAACACTTCAGTGTTAGATGTGAATTGTGATATATCCATGTCGGGTCACTTAGCGGTAAAGGTAATTTTACATAAAGCTCTGATGTGTTCTTGTCTTGTGAATTCACATGTAAGATCCATAGCTTTCTTATTTAGTTACTTTACCAGTAATATTTAGTTTAAGTATAGAATTTTACACATTAATATCCAGTTTATTCCATAGAAATAGTCATTATAGACACAAAAATTTAAATGCCCCTGTCTGGTCTTCTAGTGTTGATCATAAGTCTTTGGTATAAAACTAGACATGTCCTATTGTAGGCACAACAAGTGGTAAAGGTCATTAGACCTTTCCTGGATAATCCAGTAACATAAATTGGTGTATCCTTGCTTGCTCAGTGTAATAATAAGTTGTTTTTACACCCAAACTTTAATATGTTCTCATCTAATCACAACATTTTAGATACGAGTGACACTAACAGGTTCTATTCTGATTACTCCAGTGTTGATACCCATATTAGATATAATGTCTAGTTACTTCAGTGTCTTAACCAATTTAAATATAGCCACTGACAAGTCCTAGTTACTTTAATGGTATTGATTAATTTAGATATGACCCCAGACAAGTACTTGTATGGTTATTTCAGCTGCAATAGGCTGTTTAGATACAAGATATGACAAACTTTTTATGGGTAATTCATTTATAACAATCAAGTAAACAATGTCTGATCGATGGTGTTTATAGTCTGATCCAGTGTGAAATATGAAGTGACCTTGTCTACTGTCTTGTCTGATCCAAATTACAAGTCAACTTGGCACTAAACATGTTGGTTCAAAAGACCTCTCTTCAAACACAAGATTCATGGCACTTGCTAACAAGAAAACTAGACACCAAACAATATAAATGTATAAAAGAAATGACAGGATCATTTCTATAACAGTTTAAATTGTTTTTCTGTTGATTAAAAGAAAATAATCTTGCTTGGCTAATGCTTTGACACATGAGATCTTTCTATCTAATTCAACTGTCAAAAACAGATCAAACATAAAGCCCTAGAGCATTGTAAAAGTCTTGGAAACAGACAAGCAACTGGGAAAAACTTGGTCTTTTCTCTGAAGCAGCAGCCCAGCTAAAGGCCATCAATGTGTACCTATAATTAAAAAGTGAAAGCATTAACATGAGGAGTTTCTTTAACCCGATCAAAACACAATACTTACTTCAACAGATTTTACATTTTGTACAATATCCACTTTACAAACGTCAGTGTCAAAGGAAGCACCTTGCATTGAGCTAGAATAGTATACATCATATTTTTTTATGATAGAATAATTTCACTTGCCAAGCCTTTTCTCAGTTTTTATTCTCTTGAAGGAATCAATATTCTTTACATTGACATATTATTTTTCTCAACAATAATTAGCTGTGTTCCTTTTGTACAGATCATTATCAAACAACTAAACATTACTTATCAACGCTATTATGCAATTAGAGCACTACTAACATCTCATACTAAATACTGTCATAAATTTTACTAGTTGCACTTTTCACAAAAATTTGAATAAAACGAAATTACACAAAAATATTTGAAGCAAATATTCATGATATATAGAATTGTAGTAGGCTTAAAAAGTAGTTAGAAAGACATTCAATAAACCCAATAATCCCAAAGCTTTGGGATTGTGGATTTCATCCCTGACAAAAGTAAGCTCACTGTATGAAAGTAATCATATTATCAGATGCCTTAAAATTATTTTTAGGAAATGTTAAATTTTCTATTTTTGCTGAAAAAGAACAACAAGTTACTTATTGGTATCAAAACAGATGTTCAAATGTTTGGAAAAAAATAATTATCCACAATAACTATTCTGTGTGGTTGTTAACCCCCTTTCATGATCTGCCCAAGATAACCGAGATGCCCTCTAAGTTTTAAAAAATATTTGCCCGAGTTAACTCGGGCAAATGATTTCTTTCTGTATTTTTAATTACTTACATGAATCTATTTGCATGTTTTCATGTATTACAGTAAACTATCAAAAGGGAAAATAAAACAAATTGCTTTTTTTAGTTCATTTCCAAAGAAAACCTAACATGGAAGGGATTAATAACTATAGTTCTAAAATTCTTAAGTTCATATAAACTGGTTTTCATATATACAACATATTTGCTGAGTTTTGAAATGTTATGTTCCATATTCATAATTAATGATTTGTTGTGTAGGAATTCGTATCCTGGAGTTTTTTTTTACACTAACTCTGTGATTAGTACTTCTACAAGCCAGGTTTTCTTTTAGCCTTTTATATTCAACAATAAAATAGTCGCATAGCAGACTGCATACGTAATAAAACTTACCAAAACATATATTAAAGTTTATTATTTCAGATTTTTATCATGTTTATCACAATGTCTAGTAAGTTGGTTAGCACAGACTGCCATCTAATGGCATAATTGATTTAAACACAAGTGAAATACACCGGACTTGGTTTTTCTTATTTCTCCTATGCAATGCAAAAAAGATAATGGTTCCTGCTTGATACATTTATGGAAAAAAGAATACAAGATAATAAAACCATTAGAATGTTCTGTGAAAATTTCCAAAATGTTTACAAGCTTCTGCTTCCAAACATAAGTGGTCATTCTACATGTATCCAGCTGATTATACAGAGAAGCAGTAATAATTTAAAAGAATTGAGTAAGGTTTATGCTGTGGATAACCAACTAGTGCCAGCTGAGAACATTTCCATAACTCTGAGTTGGCACAAAACCTCACTCTTAAAAACATAAATGAAAAAGGTTAAAGTATAAATTTTCTTTTACATTATATTGACAGGTGATCAGTGCTGAATGACAATAAATATTCACAGATATGGAATGCACTATTCTGGGGCAAAATTTTAGCACACACACACACACACACAAAATTTCTAAGCCTAATTTGTTAAATACTTTAAATATTTCACAACTACCAACTATTTTGATATGGATGTCCAAATTAAAGTTTAGTTTAAGTATCACCTGAAATTATAACCAGTCGTCCAAGAGCTTTATTACATGTTACTATTCATATTCACTATATTTATATTAAGTCTTTCCAAATAACATCCTTTCTATTGTTTCAATTGGGCATTCAAACAGAATCATTGTATAGATGAAATATTTCTATGTATAGTAGAGGCTACAGGCAATGATCATTCCTCTCATAGCTTACTCAGGTCAGAGACCTACTTTATGAACAAGAGACTCATTGGCCTATTGGATATACGTCTTGCATATTACATAAACTTCCTAGTGCCAGTGGAGCTGGGGTTAACTTAGTTCAGACTTAGGGATAATAAGGCTGTGTGCAGGGCTACTGTGGAATGTATAGGTAAACATACTTGCACTTTCTAGCTTTTCTTCTTTATCAAGGCCTGATCTGTGTTTGTAATGATACCTCCTGGTTGAACTTTCATATTAATCGTACTCTCCAAGATTTATAGGTATTTCTTAACAGTTAACAGACACTGTTTCAGTAAAGAGAATCAGTACATAAAACAAATTGATTAAATATTGCTTTTGGTACATGATGCATTAACACCAAGTAACCACACTCATAACCCACTCGGTGCTTAACATTTTGAACGACTCAGATGCATACTTGTGAGTATGTAAATGATACTACAAGTATGAGGATCTAAGTTCATCTTCTGCATAAGACAGTCTTTCACTTGTACATCCCACTGTCTCATATATAGTTTAATATGCAAATGTTGTGGAATGGTGTATGTTGGAGAAAGAAACCACTTCCTCATGGATAAAACCCAGGAACATCTTAATGTCATAAAAAGACAAAATGAAGACAATCCTTGTGGAAGCTACTTTAATAATGTAGAACATGACATTAGTGATTTCTCTGTAGTAGAACTGAAGTATGCACCTTCCAATGTCATATAAAAGAGAACACCTTAAAAACTGACTTATTCATAGTTTAGGTACTCTTCACCAAAACAGCTTAAATTAATGCTTTTTCCTTCCTATAATTTTAACACACACTTTACTATATTGACTGTTATTTAGACATTTTATAATACCATTCATTTTATCGTAATTTAATTATTTTTCTCATTCATTAAATCACAAAACTTTTAAGTAACCGAATACTGTTGTACTGTACGTGTCTTGTTATACTGTTTACTATATCACACATTATAGTTTAAACCTTGGGCTGTTTTATCCACAATTTATCATAAAGTTTGAACCTCCAATAACCTACTGTTAATTTTGATGTTTAAGTATACTAACAAATATATCTTTTATCACCAATTTTAACTAATTTGTTTTTTTGTATTGAGTGTTTTCTTGACCAGGATAATCACTAAAATGATGAAACACCATGAAGAATATTACTGGTCCCATGTCAGCAGTGGCCTCATGCTAGAACACTGAAACATGGTGATCATGTAACAGGTGATGCAGAGGCACTTAGCAAGACCACAACATTAGGGTCTCAAAAGCTTCAGTATAACTAATATACTGAAGTGTATTACAGAAAAGTTGTAGCTGAAGAAACTCATGCTCACAACTGAGACTTTTTACATACGTAGCACAGTCACAAGTTATTAGATGCTATATATCACACAATTTAGAGAAAATGCATTTGATGTTTCTGTATCTTATATTCAGAGAATTGTTTGGTAAAATATCATTCTTAAAATAGATAGTTAATTGATGATCACGACATCTTAAGGCCTATGTAATGCAACTGGTTAAACTAATTTCTTCAAACTAGAGCAGCTGTATAGCTGTCCTAGACTGTAACCTTATTATTATACTTCTTTATTTTGTTTTCAAAGACTGGAATCAACAATTAGCACTGAAAGAAATAAGAAAACAAAACAACAATTGAACTTTAAATAGTTCTCTAGTGTAGTAGAAATTAGTAAAATTGAATTATATTTTGTCAGACATGAAGCCTTAATAGTTTGTAACTGACAAATTAGAGACTACTTTTTCTATTACTGTTTATTAATCTAAATATTTGGTTTAATGTGAAAAGGATTATTTACTGAAAACATCTGCACTTAGGTCTACAAAAAAAAGTATATTTGTTAAAAAACATATATATATACTTACAGCTCATCAGGACAATTGATTGGCTGAGAAAGTCTATAACCATCACGAAGAGATGCCCCCATTTCAAAGGGATCTATTTCTACATATGGCTGGTGACCAAGGGTCATTAGCTCCCATAAAGTAACCCCAAATGACCACTGAAAAAGAAACAGAAGCTATTTATGGAAATGTTTTAATACTCATAGTAATAGTTTGAAATATAATGATTTTCAAAAGTTATAATTTCTGAAAAAAAAATAAAAACTCAGTAAAGAAAGCATTTTAAATAACAATATTTCCAAAACAGAGCTATTATTTTTGTTAATGTAAATGTTCTCATATTTACAAATCAACCAAAGAAAAAATTTAAAGATGTATGATTAAAAAACAGAAAATATTATTTCTGCTTGATAAAGAGTAATTGTAAATGGTACAATTCCTACAAATATTCATTATTTGTGTCAAATAGAACATTCTTGAACTTTAAAGCACAGCCAAATAAATATTATATATTAATTAATATAACAATGATTTTATGTTTCATCACAAATTTTCAATAACAAGTTCTTAATGAGGTACAAACAGTCTGTAAAATTTAAGAACCCCTAGTATAAGACTAACCTTATTCATGGTACATGTATATTGTTAGGTTTAATGTTTTAGATTATTTTATAAAATTCAATTAAACAATAAATTACATTACTTTTTCATTCTATTTCCTAGTTGTAGCACTAAAAAGTATGAGGCTTCTCTACTTACGACATCACTAGCTGTAGAGAATTCTTTTTTAAGTAAGCTCTCTAGTGCAAGCCATTTGACAGGTCTGTTTTCATTGTCACCGAGACAATGGTAATCATTAGGAAAGAGATCACGGGACAAAGCATTGTCTGTAATCTTCACAAGTAATCTGTCATCCACCCTGAGACAAAAGTTTAAAAATTCAGAAAAAAGTTTTTGATAATGGAGACCGCTAAAAGGATCAACTTAAGGGTAAATTAATATTCATAGTCTGTTAATTATATAAATTCAAAACTGGCATTTGAGAAAATAATTATAAAATATGTTACTAGCAAAAGAAAGTAATTATTGAGTATCAGTAGTTAATTTCAAATGGATTTTTAGATATCTACTTGATTATGAATATAATTACTGTAGATAGAATTAAATAATATACAAAATAAATAACTATTAATAATTTAATAAAAACTAGGGTGGCCAAGTAGTCTTACAAGTTCCACACAGTAGAAATTATAAAGTATAACAATTGGTCACAAGTCAAATATACCAGTTACATAAAAAGTACAAAATTAGACTGTCTTAATGTTGATCATAGATCAAATATACCAGTTGCTTATGTAATGATCTTTAAAAATAACATGCAAGTTCAGTTTAGCAACAACTTGGTTTCTGGATTTTCTTTAATGGGCATTCTTAAGTTGCCATTTATAAATTTATATCAGAAGCAACTAGTTATCATAACTTTAAGATATTTAATTTGAGATATTCATTGTAACTTTTAAATTTCTATTTAGACCTCCTCTCTTTGATAGAGAACTGAACTGGTAGTATCTTTAATTATTTCTGTGATAAAATAACTTTCTACAAAAATCTATTTACAATACAAATTAAAGTTAGTGGAGTAAAATTATGTTTTTCTTGAAATTAACAGAGCTCTGAAGCATGCAAATAATGGTTGTTACTTACACACAGTTTCTGGTGGCCAAGTCTCCATGAATTATTTTCTTCTTGTGAAGATAAATCATTCCTTGCACAATCTGGATTGCCATGCCAACAAGGTCTTGGGTTAGCAGAGTCTGATAAAATGAGTAAAGACACCTTTATTTATGTGTCTTATATTTTTGAAACAAATTTTAAAATATATCTGCTCAGAATAGCTTTCCACATACAAGAGAGTATTATGTCCACTTTATTACTATAATAAGTAAAGTAAGCATTACATCAATAAATCTTTAGCGAAACAATTGTTGAAGCAAATGTTGAGCTTTTTGTAAAATAAAATTATATAATGTAAAAGAATTAGTATTAGAGCAAGAATTAGTAGTGTTTCTCAAACGGTGGGTCACGAGCAATCTGCACTGAGTCAACATTCTTTTTAGTCCTCGAAGTGTTTGAGAGGTGCACGTACCACCTTTGTTATGAACTGTGCCAAAACGATCAAAAATGTTTTCATCCTTGTAGAGATAATGGGGGGTTGCAATGACCAATGCTCAGACACAAGGGTTGTCTGGCAAGTCTGGCTGAGAAGCGCTGGCCTAGTACCTTTGCAAAACTGAACAATTATGATTATTAACTTATATCCTGATTTTTTTCTTTCTCTCTCACCAAATTTTTTTGATAAATAAAATAAATGAAAAAATGTAAATATTAGTTTCTTTGAATAAACTTCAATGTTCAAATATTTCATTCTGTAAATATTTTTTGTAACAAAACAAACAACTACTAGCTTATATGGAAGATTATCCTCAAATAAGCCTCCTAACACGTGTTTTAATCTAGTCCAGTTTGATATAACCTGCTTTTAATACACCCTTTTGTTAAAACAGCAATCACCCAAGTTCTAGAAAGAGAAATGCTCAAATAATAGTTTGAAATAATGTATTGAATACAATTGAAAATTCATGTTGGGAGAGTTCTCAAGTTTCATGCACACATTTTATTATTATTATTATGCATCAAGTTAGTAAAGTGAATTATGGAAGGTTTATATAATATGTAGCAATACATCTATGGTTGAAAATAGATCTAAAACTGATAATTCTAAAGGAACCATAAGTTATACAACTAACTAATTCTTATTATTTGTTTGATCTTATATCCAAATGAAAAAACAAATTTTCAGTTAGAATGTAAAATACCTTTACCAAAAGTGCACAGCTAGAAATGGATACTCTATCTTATCAGCTAGGATGACTTACATGACAGTGACCTTCAACTGAAAACTTGCAATTCTGAAGAAAGATCTTAAAGTTCCCCTGGTTCAAAATACCTTTACCAAAAGTGCACTGCTAGAAATGGATACTCTATCTTATCAGCTAGGATGACTTACATGACAGTGACCTTCAACTGAAAACTTGCACTTCTGAAGAAAGATCTTAAGGTTCCCCTGGTTCATGAATGGATAGACCAAAAGAGGGTGCTGCACATCATCCATGCAAACAGCAATGATTGGTAACACATTCTTATGATTTGTTCCATACAGCTTCATTCCTTCAGCTAGTAGCAGCGAGATCTGATCTTTTGATGCTTGGTCTGATGATGAAAAAGAGTCCACCTTAGTGTAAAACTAACAATTACAATAATGGTCTGTAAGTAAAGAACAGACAAATTCAACATAAAATAGCTAACAAAGAATGACCATTTCTAGTAAGTTAAATTAATGGTTTGGAAATGAAAATAGTAAAACTTTAGCACGAGACGGCATACTTTAATAAAACTTACTTCCTACCTCAACATAAGACAGTACACTTAAATTATTGGTCTCTAGATGCAAAAGACATAAAACATTGCAAAAGATACCAACATATATAATTTAGGTATTATAATCACAGAGAAAAGAATTTCAACTCAGTAGTACAAGTCAACGTAACTTAGTAGTACAAACATCTTTGTCAACGTAACTCAGTAGTACAAGTATCTTTGTCAACGTAACTTACTTGTACAAGCATCTTTGTCAATGTAACTTAGTAGTACAAATATCTTTGTCAATGAAACTCAGTAGCACAAGCATCGTTGCCAATGTAATTTGGTAGTACAAACATTTTTATCAATACAACTTAATAGTACAAACATCTTTGTCAACGTAACTCAGTAGCACAAGTATCTTTGTCAATGTAACTTAGTTGTACAAACATCTTTGTCAATGAAACTCAGTGGCACAAGCATCTTTGCCAATGTAATTTGGTAGTACAAACATTTTTATCAATACAACTTAATAGTATAAACATCTTTGTAAATTATTTAAGATTCAGTTTCTACTGAAAAATATCTAATACTTGATTTGTATTTTCTCTGAAGTGAAATATAAGCATGGCTAATTAATGTGAATTCCACCCAGAACTATGCTATAATATAATATTAAGTAGCACATTTTTGGGAACTTACAAGTTCTAGTTTATGCTTTATTGTTATCATTTAACCCTGTTATAACAAGTGAGCAGCTACTGGGGTTACTAAAAAAAAAATTTACAATTTAAATAAACATAGCAATTCTAACTTTATTTCAACAAGTTTTTTACTCAAAAATATCTGATAGTTGATATTTTGTAACTTTGTCAAATTCATTTAGTGCAATTTGCAAAGAGACATTTAAAAACTTTTTCTACTTTTATCTTTATACAGTTTCAACAAGTATCACCTGCAAACAAAGCCCTTACACATTTTCTAGAATATTTCTGCCAATCAAGTTGCATACATTTATATTTCACCAGACCCTGAACTCTCTCACAAATTTACTTATCCAAGGTTTAGCTTATCACATGACATTCCTTTACTTTAAGTAACTATTTCAAGAATAATTTCTTGAGAGGCTTTTATGATGTTGAAGCATGTAAATTGAACAATAACTAATAAACCTTTGCCTTCAAACCAGATAACACCAAAGGCTAAATATGATTGGATAGAAAACATTATTGTCTATCCACATTACTTTAAAACAAACAACACAACATCACCCATGCAGTCCTGATAGAATTAATTAATTAATTGGCAAAACTTATAAGTGACAATGTTTTTACTTCCTGAAATGCAGTTAATATTTCCTGCCTAAACTACAGAACTTATCAATCATTGCTAGGAACTTGTGAATTGTAGTTTAAATTTTTTATAACAAGCTATGATACTACAGTGTAGAAAAACTCACCAGATACAGTTTTCACAAATGTGTTTTGTTTCATGCTCGTTTCACTATCAAACTCTATGAGCACTCCACGATAAATCTGACCAAAAGTTCCTTAGGATTGAAAAAAAAGATCCATAATTTTTAAAGGTTAACTGCAAGAAAATAATAAGTTTCACAAGGTAAATTAAAAATGAAGCTGGTGATTAATATGTTTAAAAGGAAAACCACAGTTTTTTTTATTCTCAAAGAATAAATAAATACTATGATTGTATTACTTACATTTAACCTAAAGTCAATAACCAAGCTTGTAGCTTATTGTATAGTATAATTAAAATATTTTATTTAATGTATAAAAAATGAAGAAAATTTTCATAATGGCTGGACTTGTTGGTGGTACTATTAAACCATTCAATTTCTTTCAGAAAAGTAAAACTTATGCAATTAGAGTTTTAGTAACGAAATGTTTAATAACTATTGGAATTCTCAAAGTAACTTGCTAAAGCCTGCAAGTATTTTTGAGTTAACAATTAGAATGTTTCTAAGGATTAGCAGTGTAAATGTATTTAGTGAAAATTTGAATTTTTTTTAGTTTTTAAATTCTTGATCAATTTCATTTTAGTAATCATTAGAAGTTTTACAGTAAGGTTGATTAGTTGTAACACTAATCTATGTAGATTTAAATATAAAATAATGGATGGCTTTATGTTATTAAAAGGCAATAATTTATTCCATTTTTCTTTGTAGTTAGTTTGATCAAAGGTTATTGGATCTTTGAAACATTTTTTTTTCTGATTATTTGAATTATAATCACATCTGAGATTATTTAGTTGGCTTTGTGAATGGATTTAAGAATAACATAAATCTATTAAAAGTCTTAACCTTGTGAGATATTTGTTAATTAAGAAATTTTCCATGCTGCTTAGGGGTTAAGTAGATAACAACCTATTTAATGCACAAGTTTGAAGGTTATTGTTTTCCTGAGGATGACTGGGTGGCCCAGTTAAAACATGGAAAGATGATTTATATCTGATCACTTTATTTTATGTTTTATTAAAATATTACAATAAACCACAAACTCATGAATTAAATAGTTTTTTTCTAGTTAACCATTTGTGAGATATTACTAGGACTATGGTCAAAATACCATGAACAGCTGGGATACCCAATTGGGAATCTAAATCATTACAAATTTATATTTTCTGGTATATTGATTTATAGTACTAAGTATTCCTAGTCAATTTCTCATACAAATCCTTTTCACCAATGTTTAGGTTACTTTAAATTACTTCAGTTCTGATTAATATTGTAAGCTTGATTGTAATTGAAAGTCCCTAACAATGTTGGAATCTTTGGAATTTTTTAAGTTGTATAAATGTTTTTAGATATAACTATATACAATTAAGTTCATATTTTGATGGTACAAAGGCAAGAACTGTGTAAAGTATTGAAGAACTATGTATTTAAGTGTGTTTTTTTAAGAAATCTTAAGATATTAAATAACAATTTAATTTACTTCTTCATCTGGCTGTTCAAAGTAAACAAAACTATACTGTCGAATAATGACAAATAATGATTCCATACAAACTATTGTTGGCTTAGTGAATGGATTTAAGAATAACATAAATCCATTAAAAGTTTTAACCTTGTGAGATATTTTTTAATTAAAAATCTCCATGCTGCTTAGGGGTTAACATTACTATACTGTCAAATGATGATTTCCTACAAACTATTACTTTACTGAAAGACAGGATTTTAGCCTTCAAAGTAGATAAAAAGTTATACTTGAAGTATTCCTTAGAATAAAATAGTTTAAGATATATTTCTTCTAGAAAAATGTCCAGCAAACTGGACATTATACATTGACATATATATACCAACTTTTTTCCTTAATATCACCTTTAAAATCTCAATATAACAGTTTTTCACCCAGACTTGAAATATATTTACAAATGTTCTTAAAGTATGAAATCTTTTCAGAAAGATTAATTTCTTCACAGAATATACAATGTTACCTTCTTGTATTTTTTCATGTAATACAATCTTCTTCCTTTCAATGTCAATCTCACTAATCTGTTCAGTTAGTTCAGATGCTCTTAGGTTGTTCATTTGTACTGGTACATTGACAGACGATGGAGTCAAATGTCGAAAGCTAGAATAACCTAAAATATTTTCCAAAATACTAGTTTAGATTTTTTTTTCACCTGTGAAATTCTTTGAATTACCAAAATTATTTAAAAACGTTATTAAGATAATTGTCTTAAAATTATACAATCCAACTGAATAGAGAAGTGTGATCTGTGATTTAACTTACTTCCTACTGTACTGGCATTATTTGGTGTATCAACCCTCAAGAATGTTTGACCTTGGGAAGAAGCTCCTCTCATTGAGTCTCCCCTGTAACTGACAACAAAGTATGATGTAGACAAACCAAATACTGTTATTCCAATGCTATGGAGGATATAAACGTATGTGTACGACCTTGAATGTATATTGTTTTAACAGCTGATCATATCTTCCTATACACTTATCAAAAATTTCTAATTTAATGCTCAAAATGATTGTGCTTTCTTCTCATAATACTTATATATCTTATAGTGAAAGCTACCAATTTAGAAATATCGAATATTCAATGCATCAGGTTTTCAAACAAAGATTACTGATTTAAAAATACTTCATACTCAGTGCTTCATTTTATAATACAGTACTATGTATACATAGAATCTTTAAAATCTAAATCTGTGCAGCAAAAAATCACTGATTCATAAAATATTCTAACTTACAACAGTTAAAGAGTTTAACTGTTATTGTTTATAGAAAAGAAATAAAAACTCCTAATTTAAATAAAAACATACATAGTTAGGAGTTGCTGGTTTTTAAAATGATAACTTACTTGGAGTTATTTCTACGTGCTTTTTGACTTCGTATGTAACAAGTGGTGGCTGCTACTGTCATGATAACAATCAAACCACTGGCACATCCAACAGATATGTAGAAGGAATTAGTTGATGCCACCATGGCTGATGGGTCTGAAATAAAAACCAACTTTATATTATCCTTTACTGACATCAGAAAATCTAAATTCCACAACTTTACATTTTCCTGATTGCTTAGAATAATAATTTTTATCATATGTTAGAGCTAAAAGTATAAAATGAAGAAATCAATAAAATAAGAAAAAATTTACAGGTTGAAGATAAATGGGAAAGTTAAATAGTGCTGATAGCAAACTGGTAATCAAAAGATTTTCATAAGTCAAAATTCATCTTCAAATCAATAGAACTCAAGCTCAATGCTTTTTTGCAAATGTAATCTTGTTCATACATAATTATCATATATTATATTAAATGCAACAAATATTAAAGTTCAGTTAGATCTTGCATAGCACATGATCAATATATCTTTAAAATTATTAATTATACATTAATTAAGGAATAAAAGTAATGTTTCCTAATGTGACAATAACTACCAAAAACATTAGAAACTTTGTTAAAAAACAGTGTTACATGAAAAACAACAAACTGATATGCCAGTATTAATTTTATAGCTGATAGTCTTGTGTACAAAATAATTTTTACTCTGATTTTAATTGTGCATATGCAACCAAATCTTTACCATATATCTTTCAAACAATGTAATATAGCAAACTGAAGGAAGTTGAGGCACATGATTTGGAGAGGCATAAATAAACAATGAGCTAAGATTACTTACTTCTATAAAAGAAAAGCAGAAACATGAAAGTCTTCATACTTACCCATCAACATGGTTCCATTATGACTATCATCTAAAAATATATAAAAATTACATGTAATTTCTGATTAAACAAAAGTAATAACATAAACATAGAAATATATTATATTTAATCTGTGTTTTACAGCTATTGTCTACTTCTTTTCACAGATAATTCTTGTGATTTCATTAATTAAGTTATTAACACTTGACTTTACCTAGTGTGTTTTGGATTAATTTTTTTTTTCAGTGATTTCCTTATGGAAATAGTTTCTTTTTATTCATCTAAATTAATTTCCCAAAGTTAATAAAGCAGCTGCTCCATCTAATTTAGTTATTTATCAGTTATTTTATAATCACAATTTTGAAAGTTAATGTAGCAATTTCTTTGTAATTATGCTGTTTACATACAATACAACAGTCACTGTAATTGTTTTTTTTTTTTTCATGTAACAGATAGAATTTAAGCTTACCCTTTAGACATATCTTTCTTCGTTTCAATGTTAAAAATGTATTATTTGGCTGGTTTTCAGCTGTGACATTGATTTGAATTCTTATATCTACCTCTTCACTCTGTTTACCTGTACATGGCAGCAATACTTGAAACACTGAAAAATAAAATAATTTCATTTTATGGTATATGTTAGGTATAAAACAATGAACTTTCAATAAACAACAGCATCTAAATAATACAGAATGTCACTGACAGTGGAATTATTACAGGGCTCTGAAAAGAAATCTAGCTGCACTGTAAAACAGAAACGAAAGTCATAAGCAGCGAGTAAACTATAAAATATAAAAGTCACAAACTATTTTATTCAGCTCTTTAAGTCAATGAGGGAACCCGATTAAAGCAGTCACTAGTTTCTTGCACCTGAACATACAGACATTAATAACAGTAGAAAGCTAAAATGAAAAAGCAAAGCTCATTTAATGAGATGCATTATATCAGTAAAACAAAACACAGCAGTCATTAACCATCGTTCTTTTCAGTAATAATGATGAGAGCTCATTAACATACGAAACCACAGACACAACATATGAAACTACACAGTACTTTAAAACATAGGTCTCTATGTCAAATCTACTTTTTCTTCTTAATATTTATGCTCTTGTTACCACAACATCATCAACTTTGATATTTATGTGTACAATAGATGTAAGGCTAATAAATGTAAAATACCTAACTTTGACGAAAGGTGGTACATTTTAACAGAGAAGCATTGGTTATGCTTGTTGAGTTGGAAGAAATGTCAGTAAAGCCAAGAAGGCATTTATATTCACTGTAAACAGTAATACCTCTTCCAATAATTTTAATACCATCATCTGATGGTTTTATATTATTGTAAAAGTTAAAAATAGAAGATTATTTTCATGAAAGAAAACATAGGATAGTGACAGTCTGATCAGAAGAATGTCACTATTGTTGGTCTGTTTTGAGGAGTTTATTATTCGGTATTTATATTAAATAGTTACATGAACACTTAGTTATCCAAATTTGTTGATGATACTATGAAACTAGATAAGGCTGATATTCTTGAAAATGTTTCTTTTGTTCGGAAGGACCAGAATTGTCTTAGTAAGTAGATAATTACTTGGAAAATAGGTTGTAGAGCTTTTCATTATTCAAATATGATCAAAGCAATTTAACATAAAGCCATCTGACTAAGTGTATTTATTCCTTACTAAAACAAAGCAAAATGTTAAAACCAAGTTCCACGTTTTCTCTCACATCCTTTTACATAACCAAAAAATCTAGCAAAATTCAAGTAGATTGTACATATAACATCATTAACCAGGTTATTTCGTAAGTTTGTAACTTTAACAACAACAAAAATGTCTGAGCTTACCGTATTTTTCGAATATAAGAAGCACCCTTATTTTGAAGACAAAGTATTTTGGAAAAAAAACTACAGTCGCATTTGAAAGATTTTTATTGAACAAAAATTCATTGGATACTTTAAAAACTAGTATATATTGTTCTAAATACAAAAGAGCTCAGAATAAGAAAATACCGTAAATCAAAAAAAGGTTTACTGATATTTAGTTTGGTTCAAAACCTACAAAATCTTCATTGTTTTCACTGTATTTGATATCAAAATCTGCTTGCGTCCTATACACGGAAGGTATGAATAATATATATACGATATATACAAGTGATGTGTAAATATATTTAAATAGGCATGCATAGTTTAGTTAAATTGAATGTGTTATTTATAACAATAGTAGTTTTTCTTTTAAAAACATAACTATTTATAATGCTCCCTAAATAATAAAAAAATAAATTATAGTAATGGATGAGAGTGAAAAAGCTTGTAAATACACGACGATCCTTGTTTAATGTGGAGCAGAATAAGGCCGTTTAAGGCCTAGCTTTAACAAATATAAAATCGTTTTTAAATGCTTGCCTTGGATTCAAATATGCAATGCGCATTGACCAATCAGAGCGCTTAATACAATTAGCGTCGGTAATCGCCTAATCGGTATTTCAATTTTCATTTGATACTCGGCAGTCTGGCACGTGCTTACTGTCAAGTTGGATGCGTCACCGAAAGCCGAAGTACCGTATCTTAGGCCTCGGGAGCAAAATAGTTGTTTCTTCATTTTTCGTTCTATTTTTTCACCCCTTACGATGTCTAAAGAAAAGAGACTGTCAAGCACAGCTAAATTTAAATTACGTGTGATTAATTATGCAAAAGAGCATGGAAACAGAGCTGCCGAAAGATATTTTGGTCCTCCACCAACAGAAAAAATTATTCTTGCGCGAACAAGAAGAGTTAAAAGTGATAAACGCAATTTCCGAGGAAAAAAATGGTAAGATCTCGAAAATAAACTGTACGATTGGGTTGTGGATCAGAGAAGGCAAGGACTATCCGTTTCTACAAATATGATAATTTTTAAAGCAATGAGGATTGCATGTGATAATAGTTTAGAAGATTTTACTGGTCATACATCGTGGTTATGAGGCCTAGTTATGAGAACTAAAACGAAAATTGCTCAAAAAATGCCCGATGAGTTTGAGATGAAAATTTGTGCTTTTCACAAGTATATTATACAGTTAAGAAAAAAAAACTCCATTTGGATTGTCTCAAATAGCAAACATGGATGAAACAACATTTGATGTTCCAAGCAATAGAACAACTGATATAAAAGGTACTAAAACTATTACTGTTAAGACTACTGGACACGAAAAACGCATTATACAGTGGTGCTAGCATGTTGTGCAGATGGAACAAAATTACCACCAATGTTAATTTTTAAAAGAGAAACAATGCCCAAAGAAAATTTACCCAGCGGTGTCTACGTTCACGTACATGAAAAAGGTGGATGGATGAAGACGGAACACTACTTTGGTTTGAAAAAATTTGGTCGAAATGTCCAGGAGGCTTATTAAAAAAGCCTTCTCTCCTCGTCTGGGATTCCTTTAGAGCTTATAAAACGGAAAAAATAAAGGGAAAAGCTAATGAGCTAAAAACAGAGCTGGCTGTTATACCCGGCGGTTTAACGGGTCAACTGCAACCTCTCGATGTTTCTATTAACAAACCCTTTAAGAATTTAATGAGAGAGGAATGAAACAACTGGATGCAGCAGGAAGATTTTGCTACGACCCCTACAGGACGAAGGAAGAGACCAAAGCTTGCTCAGGTCTGCATGTGGGTGAAGAATTTGTGGGAAAAAGTAAGAAGTGATATCGTGATTAAGTCATTTAGGAAATGTGGTAACCGTAACGCAATGGATGGGACCGAGGATGACGTTCTCTTTGACCATAATATTGGATCCAGTGATTCATTTCCAAGCGAGAGTGAAAGCAACGAAGATTTTGTAGGTTTTGAACCAAACATAATAACAATAAACCTTTTTTTGATTTACTGTATTTTCTCATTTTGATGTTTTGAGCTCTTTTGTGTTTAGAACGATATATACTAATTTTTAAAGTATCAAATTAAATTTTTGTTCAATAAAAATCTTTCAAATGCGACTATAGCTTTTTTCCCCCAAAGTTTTGTCTTCAAAATAAGGGTGCGTCTTATATTCCGAAAAATACGATATTTAGTTACAATTAGTCGTCGTTTGCGATTCCTATACGTATATGACGTGATCGTCATCATATTCATTTCCAATACTATATGTCCACGGGTACAATTTAAGTTTCTTCAAAGCTGGAATATTACTTCTTTAATGTAGTTCAGAATCAGAAAAATTAAATGAAGTTTTGTTGGCTTTAACTTATGTTCGTAATATAGTTGACTAATGAGATTTTTCGAAGCTTTGAGATTGCCAAGGCCTGGATTGTCAATGATTGCTGAAAAGTACCAATGAGCAATATCATTCATTTAAAAAATAAATCCTTTTTTTTCACAATTACTGTAGTTGTGAACTTCTTTTCTCTTACACAATCGCACATTTAAATTAAAACAGTAAAGAAATAAAGTAAAACCAATTTTTTATTTATAAAAACGACTATTCACAAAATAATAAATACAGCGAATAAATCTACAATAGTAGGTTCTCGATTTTCTGTTCTCAAAAATTCTGAGATTAAAAAGTCGGCTAATTTTGTTGTATAAACTAAAATTGGAAGAACTCTTTGGTTAGATATATGATCAAGATGGAATAAATAAGGAACATATCAAAGGTATCAAACATCTACGAGTATTTAGTGTTGTCTTCCAGACTGTCAGAGGTAAGTTTACGGACTTACAACAATACAGTCCAGAACTCAATTTTTTCATGATGGACAGTGCCCAGACTATATATTGTGTGGCTTTGCTCTGAAACAAACAAGCATTTAATATTAGCGACATTATTTAGTAATGAAACAACAATATAAGTTACCTAAATTTCAGCTACTTCAGGTTTTAAAGAAGACCTTTTCCACAAATACTTATAAAACAATTTAACGTAATAAGTAATTCTATTACTATAATAACATTGATCGATGATAAAAGCTATAAAGATTCCTTTTTTTTCAACTTGACAAATAAAATTAATAACTTTATCGTTTACTAAGATTATAATTACCGAATGAAAGAGAAACGCGTTTTAACGATTAAGATGGTAAATATAAGTTTACAACGTTACGAATCGTGGAAAACTGTATCAAAATGTTAGCTGTATTTCAGAAATAAATTTCATTAAAAATAGCATTTGTTTCTAATATATATATATATACAGGTTTATTGACTGAAACTCCATTGTTAAGTTATTTTAAAAAGAATAAAAATATAATCAGTAGGCTTAATAAATCAGAAACATATATTTAGGTAATTTATCTTAAGAAAAATAGAAGAAGAAAATATTACTCTGATTATTAAGAATTCAGGTCTCAGTCTTAACTTAATAAAGATTCGCCAGCGTTTTGTACTATACGAACTATGCTGGTTAGAAATTTGGTAGGTCTGATTATTCATGTGTCAGGTCTCAGTCTTAAGTTAATAAAGATTCACCGGCGTTTTTATTATATGAACTATGTTGGTTAGCAATTTGGTTGGGTTGCGATTATGTGTTTATGTGTTTTAATTATGTGAAGTAAACTTTTTATAGAGTAATTCTTACCGGTAGCAAACTATAAAACTTTAGTAGGCGCTCAGAAGGTCAACATTACGTT